CATTACGGGGATCTGTTTGTAGCTGGAAAATGACTGCATTATGACCGATGCAGCATTGGGAAGTTACAGGAAGATGATCATTACTGAAATGAAACTGGAGCCCATTTGAGAGCCGCAAGCAGCAGCTGGAATGAGCAGATGAATGTCTTCCTGTTTTTATTAGTGCAGGCAGGTTTGCCAGGCAGAAGGGAAAGGCATGCTAACCCGAAAACTTCCAGTACCTTGCTCTGCACTCTGGGCTCTGGCCCCAGCCATGGAGCGGCGCTGAAGGCAGCTCCTGTGGGCTGAGTGACATGTTTGGGGACTGGGACTGTGACAGCAATTACTCCGGCAGTACTTACAGACGCACAGTGCTGGCTGGCGCTGGGCTGTCCTCCAGGTGTCCCTGGCATGGCCAACAGGAGGGTGAGGCCCCTCCTGGCAGCTGCAGCCCCAGTCAGTGCACACAGGCAGGGAGCCCCAGGCCTGAGGGGGCCGGGAGCGCCCCTGGGAGGCCGCCCCAAACAACAGCAGCCAGGGCCCTGTGCTGCTGCCGGGGCCCCTGGGGCGGGTTGCCCGGCCCCGCACCCGGGTGTGCAGCCACTGCTTCCTAACTGCTCGGTGAGCACTCGGAGCGTGCTCCGTGCAGGAGCTGGTCCTCAGCCAGGGGTTGCTTGCTCTCCTTCCAGGACGGCTAGTGGCTCCTGCTCCAAACCACGTGCTGGCACCCAGCAGACAGAGGTGCTTCCCGCTCGGAACACATGCATTTTCTTCTCTATGCTCCAGCCAAGGGTACTGAAGAGGCCCCTCCCTTAATCCAATCAGGCGTATACATTAATGGCCTTGCTATTCAAGTCCAATAAAATAATTATATACATGTTGGGGTCTCAGAGATGAACAGAGACCTTAGGGCAGGGCTGGCTGACAAAGGAGGTGAAGCCCTCAAGATGAAAATTAAAACTATGCGTGTCACAAGAAAGAGACCCTGGCCGCCGCCTGCCCGTTGGTACGTTTCTAATTGTGGCAGGCAGGTCGGGGCTTTCTGGCCTCAGCTGCAGCGGGGAGGCTGCCACCACTCTCCACTGCCACATTAGCTCCGACAGTCCCAACTTGAAGTGACATCACAGGCCGTTAAAATTTTATCAATTGCAGTATGATTAATCCCCCAGTACACCGGCATGACTGAAATATTTAGAATGCTTCTTCTGTTACGACTTTAATGCGTGTAAAGTAACAAGATTAACTCCACTACGCTCAACTCTATTCAAATAGGGATCTTGCTCGGGCTGCAGGCGATCGGGCTTGTAGGAATCCCTGAGCCTGCGTCCGGCGTCAGGCCCGATTTGTGTGACCCGCGCTGGATGCTGGCCTGCGTGGGGTAGCCGGGTGTCTGGCCTCTCCGCCGGCCTCCTGATTGCTTGCCTCATTTGGCATGGAATGGGATTCCTGGCGCTTCTCGCCTCTGACTCACTCCGCTTTATTGCTGTGTAATTTTCTTATTCTAAAATAAAAGCTCTCCAACAAAAATTACTATGCATTAGGCCGCAGTCGTCGACTCAAATGGATATTAATACAGTTTATCTCTAAAAGGACGAATAATGTATTTGAAACAGATAAAAGGCCCTCCACTAAATGAGGAATGTTAATATCTTATGGCGCGGTTAATAAAGAGATATTTCACAGGGGAGGTTTGTTTTATGACTTTTGATACAACAGCCTTGTAATCTGACATATCTGAAACGATATAATTTTGCACATACATTCATCTCTTTTATACATGGCGGCGGCCCATCTGAGCGAAATTTGAATTCAGAGCAAATCATGGGCACTAATTACTTTTGTGAGGATTTATTATAAAACTTGGAGTCGGACGAAGCAACGTGGAAATCCATGTAGGGCGTCGGAAGCTTAGAAATACGTTTTGAAAAATTAATTTTTTTTTTCTCTCCCCCTTCAGCAGAAAATAACCTTTGTTTTTGTTGTGTTTAAGGCAGAGTTTGAATTAATTGAACCCAGTGACACATGTTCAGAGACTAAGCACACTTCGAAATAATTCTTGGGAATAAATGGCTCTGGAACCAAAGTACATTAATTTATGGTTCTCCTGATGCTGACAGCTGTGCGGGCGGGAGGGGGACCGGCAAATATTAACATAGAGCGAATCTGCTTTATTCCCGTTCATATTTTCTTCTTCATCCCTGACTCCTGCTTGCCGCGGCTCCCTCTCTAATTATCCACGAGGTCAGTAAGCAAAATTGGGAAGAAGCTGGGAGATCAATACAAATTATCCCTGAGCAAACCAGTGCTGACAGTTTGAATTGCAGCATATGTTTACCCAAAATCAGGCAATTTATCTTAATATCAGCAAAGTAATGTAGTGCAGGTGAAAGGTCAGGCAATCTCTCCCCCTCATAATTACCCAGTTCTAAAACAGGAAAGTGCTATTGATTGCCCGGCCCGGGGCTCGGGGCCTGGATGGGCCACGCTCTGCCCTGGCTCGGCTAGCTCTCGGCTTGTAAACTCGACACGCTGAGGATTTATTAGCTGTGTAGCTGTGTGCTGGGAGCCTACGGGTTCTCCTCCTGCCGGAGGCCGGGCCACTGGAGGCCCTGAGACTCCTCGGGCAGCCGAGCTCCGGGGTGCTGGGCTCAGCTCCATTTGGCGCTAGGAGGGGTTTGGGCTGGCCCAGTCCAGGTGGCACTAGGAAAGGGCAGGTGGCCGTGGAACGGGCTGGGACCCCACAGGGCCACCATGCTGGCTCTGCTCATGCAATGGCTCCAGAGGGTAGAGGCAGAGAGGGTGACCCCACCCCAATCACCAGGAGTACGGAAGACCCCTTCTCCTGTGAGTAAAGACGGGCACCATGCTTTCCCGTCCCTATGTGGAAATGCATTGGCTTCCAGAAGTAAAGATCCTGGGTGGGGTTGAAAAGTGGAGCAGCAGGCCGGCCCCCCTTCCCCAGGGCATGCATCGGCGAGGCGGGGCCCCATGGCGCCACAAGACCGCGCAGAGGCCAAGGCGCTGTAAACGGAGCGCTGGCTTACTTGCCTTTATGCTCACAGTGGAGATGCTTTGGGGCTGGAGCGAGGGGTGAAGGGTGCCCTCCCGTTGATGCAGCTCCACACGGTGGTGGTCCGAGAAGGCCACTATCAATCCATGTGAACCGCTGGCGACTGTCTCCTGCAGAACAAGAGTGTATGGTTATTAGGATCATAAAGGCCCTGAAAGCCTGCATTAGCGGCGCTTTCACCTGTCAGGCACATTTGCATGGAATCAATAGTGGCCGCCATCTATCTTTTCTGATCACCTTTCATCAGGGCAGATTCATTAAGTCACACAGGAATGGTGATTAGCTGGCGGGGAGGAGAAACCTTGACGTGTTAGAAATGGCACAGTGGGCCACCTTTTTTTGTTCCCCCATCGAGACACATAACCCTGTATCTCCTGCTTTTTGGGACAGAGTCTCTTGGAGGGGCTGGCAGGGCGGCCAGTGCCCCAAAGCCCACCCCACGCTGGCGCCTGACACCCTTGCACAGGCCCAGGCAGAGACATGACAAATTGTCCCCCAAGTCAACGCTGACAGCGTCTGATGATTAATGGTCTGATTATGAAGTGGTTTTACACATATAGAATTTACATCACAGGGCGTTAGGAATTTTGCCATGTCACACACGCCAGGGCCTTTTGAAAAGCTTTACTATTTGCAAAGAAAAAAAGAGGGCAAAATCCAGCCAAAGCCATGCCATGTAAAATCAATACTTTATTAACAAGAAAATGTCTTATTTCACATCCCTGTGTGGGCCTTTGTCTCCGGGATGCATGATAGCATGTCAACTCACATTGTGACGCTCAACTTTGGACCACGTTATTGAGTGCACGTGAGAGGCCCCTTGCTCTGCTCATGAAGCTTGCGGTCGTGTTTACACAAACAGCCCACTCACTCGAGGGTGGTGGCCTCCAGTTATTTTGAAGAGCTCTGTCCCTGCTCTGAGTGGGCCAGCCCTCCGTGCACCCCTGCACGCTGCAGACCTGCTGCGTTGGCCCGTGTTGATCATCAAGTTGCGTGCTGACTAATGAGTGACGGCCCAAGTTGCGGGCTGAGTAATGAGTAGGCAGCAGGTCTTATTAGACTCAGAAAGACCCTGATTTATGTCACACCCTGGACCGTGGAGTGGCCCCCTGAAAACTCTATCTACATCAAGAAATAACGTACTCCAATAAGTGTTTTCATCTTTGCGCACGGCCTCGGCCTCCGGGCCCGGTTTTGGTTGGAGTCAGGCAGAACCATAATAAAGCCCGTTGACTCCTTATAAAGCTTGTTAAACACAGTGTGTGCCGTCGGTCGGAGACCTGGCCGTGATTCATGCACTGTACACAGTGCGTGGGCCGCTGATTGATGGCCGCGCACAGTTCATAGTCAAAATTACAATTTGAGGGATAAAAAGATTAATTACTATTTGTGGCCGGCAATTTCATGAGGCTGCTGGATTGCGGCTGTGGAAAGGCGGTGTTCCCCATCAGTCTGTGACCAGCTATTCCCGTGTTAGGAAAGCTCTGCAGGAGTAAGTGCCCCGCCTGCCTGGTTTGTGCTCAGGCAACATGCTAGACAAAAAAGGACCACAGGGATCAATCCAAAGCTAGCAGTAGCTGGGCAGATGTCATCGCTGCCCGTTTCCCAGAAGGAAAGGCACTGTGCATGCAGCCGTCACTGGACAATGGTGACTACCACCATATATATGTGTGGCCCAGACCTGTGACTTGGTGACGGTGTGGTCATTTTTATAATATCTTGAGTCACCCTTTGACTTTCTCCCAGTCTAATTGTAAATCAGAAATAATCAGTGCTTTTATGTGCAGACAAGGGGAGAACGGCATGCCCTAAGACGGTCAGGTCGGGGTCCTGCGCGTGGGAGGGTGGCGGCTGGGAAGGGGATTTCCGTGTTTGTATGTAAGCGTGCAATAAACCAGTAATGGATGAATCAGAGTAATTAACCCGACCCGATCTCTGTGTCCTGTTGCAG